TATCCTGGGGTCTTCCAGCAACACAAATCAAAACACTATGACAGAGACGGGGGAACCTGCGTGCCCTTCTGGGCCACATGCCGGCGGTGGGCAGGGCCAGAGGCAAAAGTGGGCGGAGCAACACATGCAAATTTGTACACTAGGTTGGGTACACTCACAAACCTCTCTCTATCCTCCTCCCCAGCAAGCATGGCATGTTATCTGAATGCCACGACACCTTATAGACAACAAAAACATTCAACAAAGGTGCACAGCAGAAGGGGTGTGGCCAGGGATGATGTCCAAGGGCCAGGCAGAGAGGCCTGGAGGGCCACATCTGGTCTACAGGCCAGAGGTTTTCCACTCTTATAGGAATAATTCACAGCAGACAGCAATGCAAGAACTCCAGTTGTGCTCTCCCAAGCAGAAAAGAGCCCTAAAGTTAAGAGATCTCTCTCCCACCTACCAAACTCGCGTCCCGTAGCCTCCTCTTCCTGGGAACTGGGATTCTCCGCTCAGATCCCAAAGCCAGGAAACTGAAAAGACTCAGAGGAGTGGAACTCCGGGAGCTTCGGAAGTTTCGCTGTGAGATGTCGCCGTGCTGGCCAAGATCTCCGGGGAGGGCTGGGAGCCAGGAAGGGGTGGGAATGGATACAGGTGCTCTCCTCTCCGCTATCAACACTTCTCCCTGCGATAATCCCAAGCCAATTCCGTCCACCCAGCTTCCGGCAGGGAGAACTGCAAGGACAAAGTCTGATGACACAAACTGAAGGCACCTGTTCAAGCTACTAAAAAGCCTTCTCCCCCAGGGCCTGATCCACAGATTCCTTTTCCTTTGGAGTTTAAAGACGAAGCAATGGGGATGGAGACTCTTATCCTCTGCTTTTTTTAAAGCGCGCACACAAACCTGATCTTCAGGTGGGCATTCTGGAGCAGAGGAAACTCCAGTGTGAAGCTGTTGCATTGCAGCAGGCCACAAAGTTCAGTTCTATCCATCTGGGTCTAAACAGAGGCAAGGGTTTCTTGTTCCAGAGCAGGTGTTAATTGACATGCAAATTGTATTGTCTCTTTACTCAATGGTGCCAAGTGGCACAATGGTTAGAGGGTCAGACTAGGCCCTGGGAGAGACCAGGATTCGAATCCCTACTCGGCTGGGAAACTCACTAGGTGGCCAGTCACTGCCTTTCAGCCTAACCTACCTCACAGGGTTGTTGTGGGGGTTAAATGAGCAGAGGATAACCATGTATGCTCATAGAAAAAGTGGGATATAAATGCAGAGGGGGAGGAGAAAACATTATCACCAATTGCAAGGATAATTTTGCAAACATTTGAGCTCCAACTCAAGCATGGGAAACCTTTGGACATTCTGGACATCGCTGAACTAAGTATTTATTTTTAGTTATTAGATTTGTAGACCACCCTTCATGGGGCTGGACTAGATTCTATGAAGATCTTAGGGTGGGTCACAAGGTAAAAAAATACAGGTAAAAGTAAAAAATAAATAGTTAAAACAAAAACTGCAAAATAATAACCCCAACGCGGGTGGCCCTGTGGGTTAAACCACAGAGCCTAGGACTTGCCGATCAGAAGGTCGGCGGTTCGAATCCCCGTGACGGGATGAGCTCCCATTGCTCTGTCCCTGCTCCTGCCAACCTAGCAGTTTGAAAGCACATCAAAGTGCAAGTAGATAAATAGGTTCCGCTCCGGCGGGAAGGTAAACGGTGTTTCCGTGCGCTGCTCTGGTTCGCCAGAAGCGGCTTAGTCATGCTGGCCACATGACCCGGAAGCTGTACACCGGTTCCCTCAGCCAATAAAGCGAGATGAGCGCCGCAACCCCAGAGTCGGCCACAACTGGACCTAATGGTCAGGGGTCCCTTTACCTTTACCTCCCAAATACATCTAAAAGGCTGTAGAATGTTCATCAGCCAAAGGCCTGGTTGAAGAGGAAAGTTTTTGCCTGGCGACTAAAGATATATAATGAAGGCACCAGGCAAACCTCCCTGGGGAGAGCATTCCACAAACTACAACTCCCCTCAGCCCCAGCAATCATGGGATGAGAGGAGTTCTAGAGCTTAGCAACACTGGGAGGGCCAAAGCCTCTGTACACCTGCTCTCCCCCAAATTGCCACCCCTTTGCCATTTTATGCCAGCCTTCCCTTCTAATAACTTCATGTCATCTACGCTGATTGGCAGCAGGTCTCCGAACACGACATTTCCAGCCCTATCTGGAAAGTCTGAATGGAGCTCATGGCAAGTTTCCATGCACCTGGTTGGCCACTGTGAGAACAGGATGCCGGACTGGATGGGCCACTGGCCAAATCCAGCAGGCTCTGCTTAGGTTCTCATGTCTAAGGCTGACAAATGGGTGGTGTGGGAAACCGCATGGAAGTGATGATGACAGTAGCCAATTTTTGTGTGTGTGTGGCGGGAAATTGCAAGGATGGATATCTGAACCCTTTCGGGGCCAGTATCTGGCCTGAGCTTATCTGCTATCAACCATTTCTTTTTATTTCCGCCTGCTCTCGTGGGCAGACTCTTCTGGGGGCTTCGGGGTGGGGAGGGAGGAAGCAAGAGACATTGGTGAGAAAGTTTAGGGCCGCTGTAATTGAGTTTGGGATTAATGCACCAAATGGCCTCTTGCTCGCTCGCCTGCTGCCCAAGCCTGTTATTGTCAAGGCGACTTTCCATTGTACCTGCCTTCTCTTGCAGAGAAAAAGGCCATTCATCACCTCAACGGCTAGTTCGGGCTGTAATGTTATGGGTATTTTTCAGCTAGCCAGGCCTGCTAACCGAAAAGGACGGGCATTAATTGGCTTGCTTGCTAACAATCATGGTTATGTACAGAGCAGAGATGGGGAACCTTTTTCCCAGTCTGGGTACCACATTTCCTTCTGGGGGTGGGGGGACATGCCAGTGGTGGGCGGGCCAGAAACAAAGGTAGGTGGGGCACCAAGCCAGGAGGCTAGTTTACACACACACACACACACACACACACACACCCGTCTTCCCCCTTCCTTCAGGCAAGCAAGAGGCATTATCAGAGTTCAAGACACCACTCCAGCCAGGGACAAACTCTGAAGGAGTGTTGGTAAAGAGTATCATTATTATTACAGACCCTCCAAGTGTCCTTATTTTTCCAGGGATAGTCCCGGATTTACAGAAGCTGTCCCAGTTTCTGATTTGATCCTGTAAATGTCCTGCTTTCCTTAGGACGTCCCTATTTTTATTGGAGAAATGTTGGAGGGTATGGAATTCTGCGATCCCCGAGGCAAGGAGATAACTAATTAGACAACCTTTAGAAGACAGCTGAAGGCAGCCCTGTATAGGAAAGTTTTTTTAATGTTCAATGTTTTATTTTTATATGTTGGAAACCAATAATAATAATAATAATAATAATAATAATAAATAGTAATAGTAATAATGGAATATTTTCATCAGAGAAATGTTAGAGGATATGCTATCATCATCATCATCATCTTCAAATATATTTATATTCTGCCTATCTTCCAAGCTGGGATTCAAGGCAGCTTACAACATTCAAAAACATTATTAAATACAAAGGAATAAAAGCAAACTAGTTAAAAGCAATGATTAAAATACATCAGAACACATTTAGAAGCAGCATTTAAAATGCAGTTTGCTCTGACCTCAGCCAAGTGGTCAGCATCGTCTGGCACTTTAGTTTCCAAAGGTCTCTCTGAGCAGGAAGGTCTTGGCCTGCCGGAGGAAGGAAAGCAAAGAGGGAGCCAGTCTGGCCTCTCTTGGGAGGGAATCCCACAATCTGGGAGCAGCTGCAGAAAAGGCTCCCTCTTGTGTCACCACCAACTCTGCCTCTGGTGTTGAATGGACTGAGAGAAGGTGTTCACCCTTGGATTGAAGCATAGGGAGACACAATCTTTCAGCTAATCTGGGCCCAAGCCATATAGGATTTTTATCGGTCATAACCAGAACTTTGAATTGTGTCTGGAAATGGACTGGTAGCCAGTTTTAATTGAGGAGTAACCTGCTCCCTGTAACCAGCCCCAGTTAGGAATCTGGCCCCAGCATTCTGTACCAGCTGATGCTTCTGCACACTTCTCAAAGGCAGCCCCACCAAGAGCGCATTACAGGAATCCAACCGGGATGTAACTCAGGAATGAGCCACTGTCATCAGATCAGACATCTCAAGGAACAGGCAAGGTGCCAAACGAGCTGTAATTTTGCCAACACCGAAACTGGGTTCAGGGCAGAATCCAGCAGTACTCCCAAACTGCAAACCTGGGCATGGAGAGTCTCTCTGGCCAAAAAGTCTTCAAGGGCTACATTCCCTGAGATTCCCCAGCCCTAGTATAGAGCCCAATCAGGATGCATGGCATGTCAACACGGACAAAGAGCCTGCAATCCAAAATTCAAAACAGGGACAACAGAGGGTGGGTGTTGCTTCTGTTTTCATCTGAAGCACTTCAAATGAGCCAATCGAGGGAATGTGCAGAATTACAGGAGATGTTCACAAGTGCAGATTTTCTTCCCCCCCCCTTTTTTTTTAAAGTGTTATCCAAAAATATACATATACGCTGCTAAAAGTTTTACCGTGAAATGGAACAGGTTAAAGAATTTATAGCAAAATGGGCACAGGGTATAGGAAAACAGTATTCAAATGCAAATCTCAGAACATCTATGATTAGAAGGAAATGTGCTCTCGTTCTCTTTCCTTTAAGCATGAATAGTAGCGAAAACTGTTTTAATGGGATGGTCAGATGGCATCTCACTTTTAGCGATGATGAGTAAAATCAACAAGGACCACCAGGGCTAGGACAAGATATTTTGCTGTTGGAAGCAAAGGGAAAAGAAGGTCCAATTAAATGTACAGAAACTGACCAAACTGGTCCCTGAATCTGACTGACAATGCGAAACCATCTTTCGGGATGAGTGAACGTGTCAATTTGAGTTTATCTCAGTTCCTCACTTTACCAGTATTTAGTTCTCCACATGGCTGCATCAGTCTGCAATCCCCCCACCCTTTAAAATGCCCTCAGGAAAACTTGTCAGCATAGCTCAGACGGTAGAGCATGAGACTCTTAATCTCAGGGTTGTGGGTTCGAGCCCCATGTTGGGCAAAAGATTCTTGCACAGCAGGGGGTTGGACTAGATGATCCTCGTGGTCCCTTCCAACTTTGTGATTCTAGAGCATATGTCTTCTATTGTACACATTTTTTGTATGCAGTTTTGCTTGATACATACACACCTTGGCAAGCTATTCTCTCTTAAGGTAATGCACTGAAAATGTGGTTTTCACTAATAAAGTCATATTATGCACACTTTGCCCTGATACGCACATTTTTCACACATGGTATCCAGCTGCAGAACTGCATTGCAAAATTCAGATATGTGTGACTCTTGAAGGGTAGATATGCTGTGTTTTGCACGCTTTCAACACAAAATGAGAATTTATACGATATACGATATCTTTATTGTCATTGTCCCATGCAGAACAATGCAATTGAAAAACTACATAAAACATTCAAAAACCCGTAAAAACTCCAAAACCCCATTTTAAAATACACTATACTATAGAGACCCCTTATGCTGCGGCAGGAGTCGGCAATGTAAGAGCCTGCTGGAACAGGCAATGGCAATAATAATAATAATAATAATAATAATAATAATAAAATTTTATTTATATCCTGCCCTCCCCAGCCGAAGCTGGGCTCAGAGCAGCTAACAACAGTAAAATAATACAGCATTCTAAAATCAATTCATTATAAAATCAGTTCAAATCAAATTGATGGCAACCATTGGGCTACAGTTCTGTGAAGAATTACCAAAGGAGGGGGTCAGGCTGTGCCTTGGCCAAAGGCCTGGTGGAACAGCTCTGTCTTGCAGGCCCGGCAGAAAGATGTCAAGTCCCTTCCTGGTCCAGCATCCTGTTCTCACAATGCACAACTAGATCCTTGTGGGAAAGCCTTGAGCGGGAGCCGAGCACAAGGGCCCTCTCCCCTCCTGTGGTCTCCAGCAACTGGTATTCAGAAGCATTTCTGCCTCCGACTGCAGAGGCAGAGCACAGTCATCATGGCTATGGGGCCATTGGTATCCGTGAGATCCTTTCTGGCTCCACAAGCCAGATAAAAATCCGTGGGCCAACTTTGACAGGTGGGCAAGACAACCCACTTGCTAATCAGCTGAGGGGGAAGGGAGAAAGACGTGATTTGCCAGCCCTTGACTGGTGCTTCTCAAAGCGCTGAGCACAGGTCCAGCCAAAGGACTTCTTCTCTTCTTCTCTCATTTTGCAAACACTGGCTGCTGTGCCCTCTTCCCAGCAACGTACTCTGACTTTGAAATTCTGTGTCCAAAACATGAGTAAAACACACACACAAACTTAAATGTTCAGCAGCACAGGACCAGCTCACCTATCAAAACGCCCCTGACTAGTTCCTATCTTGCGTTAACAACACAGGCTGTGCAACATTCATTTGTTCTGAAACAAAACCATTGCAAGTAACAGATTATAAAAGAAAAACAACAGCTCCAGCTTGCAGCTTGGCTTGGCTTCGTTCAAGAAAGCGGATCAGATTCCTAGCAGGCTGTTGGGGACTCAACAAGTCCTCCTCTTCATTTTCATTTTTCAGATGCTTGCTTTCTGCATCTTTCTGGTAACTTTCCAGCTGCCTAGGAAGGAATAAATGTCTTCAGCACACGGCGAGCACCAAGGAGTCTCAGAGAACGCGCGCTTAAGGAGGTCTGTAATGAGATGGTGGATGCCGAGGGAGAAATGCTATCTGGCCGGCATTTGCTCAGATTAAAACGGAACATTGCCCTTGGTAAACGATAAAAGGTTTTGCTGTGCATAGAACACCTTAACCCTCAAGATGCGGGGCAGGCAGAGAGCGGTAATGTCCAGTCCAGGCCAGGGGCCTGATCTGGTCCTTCAAACAAGTTTCCCCATCTCCCCAGGGATTGAACCTGGGATCTTCTGCATGCAAAGCAGATGCTGTACCACTGAGCCATGGCCCTCCTGCCCTTACCCCCAGTTCATAATGGAATTTGCAAGGATCAAGTCCCTACAGAGACCCTATACCTGGCCAGCAGCCCTAACAATGCTCTCAGAGTCTGAGAGCAAAGCAAAGCAGCCCATTCATGCAGACAGCCAAGCAGGAAGGCATCAGAGTTGTGCCACACTCCCTCTGCTGGTTTCCCTCAGCACACAGATACACATTGGCGAGGAACAACACCATAGCCTATCCAGTAGCCCAACTGGAAAGCAGCCAGTCCAAGGAGACCAACGACTAGAGCTGTGGTGTTCCCAGGTTGCAAGGGCTCGAAACCCCAGTACTATTTCTGCAGAAGGGTCCCATTCTCCAGCAGCCTGGCGCTGCCCAATCAGCATGAAAGGGGAGCTTTTTAGCCACTGAGAAGAGGTCTTCTCACCCTTTGGGCTGAGTGGAGCCAATCCGAGTGAAAGGAGAATCCTGAGGACTGGCTCCTAGGGTCACTCTGAAGAAGACACATATGGGAAGAACCCTGAGGAAGAGTTGTTCCATGTGCTCCAAAGCTAAGCCTTTAGGACCACTGAAAACACCAGATGTCAAGGAAACGGCATGCATGTTGTGTTATGTGAAGTGGAACTTCAAGGAAAAGCACAACTGAAGTCACTTTGAAAGGTGAAACTGGAATCTTCCAACCATCGGCTTCAGATAATTCTTTATGAATGTGATATGTTTCAACTGTTTTTAATTCTGAATCTTAAATCGCCGCAACCCACCTTGGGACCTGCTGTTGAAGGGCAGGTAACAACAACAGCACAATGGCGATAATATAGTGTCTTAGAACATCGGACTTCATGCGTTCTGAACGTAGCCAGGAGACAAAACCACCCACTTCCCGCCTCAGGCCACACACAGGCTGCACATGAGGGAATATGGTCCAAAGGTATATTGAGGCCCCCACCCCGCAGAACCAGGGAAGCTGCTCATTTATCCAGAGTAGCCATTCTGATCCGTGCACATCTGAGAACTCAGAAAAACCTGTGTTGCTTGCAGTAGGTCTGCGACGGCAACTCTCTTCTCCCCATAGCATGACCCCTTAACCCAAATAGAAATACCACATGGCCCCATTAATTCCAGCCCGTCAACTGTCTCTGCTCTTGTTTGCTTGAGGGAAAGGTCAGAACTCAGTGTTAGGGCCCACGATTCGCAGAAGGCAGAAGATCTCAGCCGCAATCCCACACGTTTCCGTGAGAAGTCGCAGGAAGGAGGCAAGCGGGAAAGAGCTCTGTCTGAGACTCTAGAGCGCGACAGTCAGGCAAGGTAGACCACGTTGAGCTAGGAGGCTGACCTGTTTATCGGGCCCTTTGTTCCTATGGGGCAGTCACTCTGCCTCAGCCTAACCTACCCCACAGGGTTGTTGTGTACAGCTATATTCATGCCACCCTCTGCTTTTGGAGGCAAGCCATAGCTCAGTGGTAGAGGCCAGTTAGCAAGTGGTTCCTGGTTTAATCTTAAATATATCCAAGTAGTTCAGTGTCTGGAACCCTGGAGAGCAGCTGCCAGTCAGTTTAGACAACACTGAGCTAGATGGACCAACCATCTGTCTGGTATATGAAGCATCTACCCATGTTCTTATACAAGGCAGGAATATTAAGGAATCAGAACCAAGATCCCTGCAGCATGACTTAATTTCCTACTGCCCCAGGAAGGTGAGCAAAGGACCCAGCAGAGGAAGGCGCCTGCCAGCAAAGGGCTCGCAAATCGTGAGATCCTGATTATCATCAGAATTTTAGATCGCCCAGCAAGGATGCATAGATCTACCCACCATCACTCCCTCTTTCAGCAGCCCGCAGATGTCTCGACTTGCCCTTCATCTTGGGGGTGTACGAATTTCATTTGAACTTCTTCTTTTTTAATCTCAGAGGATCCATCAAGAGATAAGATTTCCCTCTGTGAATCTCAAAGAGGTATCTATCGATTTTCTTGTCCCACAAAAGTAGAGGAGCAATCAAGAGTGTTGTGGGGTGTGTGTAGTGGGGCTGGTCACCTGTTCTTCCAAAGTCAAACCGGCCCAAGGAATTAGCATTTCTCAGAGGGCAGCTGCTATATTAATTGATCAAGTGCTCCTTGAGAGGTCTGGGACAGAAACTCTTCTCTCTCTCCTCCCCCACCTCCTTTCTCTCACACACATCCAGGCATCTTGGCAGCCGACCAGGACATTGTCATCCCAACACAATGCCATTTGCCTTGATGAGGCCCCATTCGATCAGCCTCGCACGTCACTTTGTTAGGTGAGGTGGCGCGATTCGAGGAAAAGGGTCAGGAGCTGGCTACCCTAAACTGGCAGAGCCAAGTCTGATTACGTCCTTGCAGGGCTTAAAGCTCCCTGCGACCCACCGGAGCAGAGAAAATCTGGCTCAAGAGAGAAATCCAGCTTGGACCAATTTCACACATGCTGTTTTAAAGCACTTCTGAGCCCCTCTCTTGCAATTGATGTGCTGGTGTTAAAGAGAGAAATGCTTCCTTTAAATAAAATGTACCTGTCACTAGGTTTTAAAGTCAACAGACGGCAATTTAACCTTCCTGGCATTTTTTTGCGTCCCGCTGAGGAACAGATGCATTCTATCTGAAGCACATTTTAGGGCTACCTCCACACTACTTGCTATTATTATTAATGTTGTTGTTGTTGTTGTTGTTGTTGTTGTTGTTGTTGTTGTTGTTGTTTTATATCCCGGACCAGGATTCAAGGCGGCTTACACAAATTAAAACAACACAGATAAAATACAAAAAGCTACTGTGCATATAAAAGGGGGAATGTAACTCTGCTACATAAAGGAACTTGCTAGTGCAAGTTAGGAAGGATATTAATAAACAATATATCCTCTCCTGCCACCCTGAACATTCCCACATCCATGATAACCCTCTCCTCCATGAATTTGTCCAATTCTCTTTCCAAAGCCATTCAAGCTGGTGATCTTCACCTCCTCCTGTGGGAGGGAGTTCCATAGCTTAGCTCTGCCCTGCACGAAAAAGCACTGTTGTCTGTCCTGACTCTTCCAATATTCAGCTCGATTGGAAGTCCAGGAGTTCCGGCATTATGAGAGAGGGAGAAAACCTTCCCTCTGCCCATTTTCTCCAGGCCACGCAAAATTTCGTAAACTTCTGTCCTGTCACCACTTACTCGTCTTTTCCCTAAACTAAAAATCCCCCAAAGCTGCAACCGAAATTGCAGTATACAAATATTTATAGATAAATAAATAGATATACGAACATCTGGAAGGCCAAAAGTTCTGCATCCTGGCCTGCAAGGTCTGAGAAGTAAACCAAAGTCTGCAACATCTACTTTATTTCCCCCTTTTTTTAAAAAAAAAGTAAAGTTCAGAAGATCTGAGATAGTTTGGCAGATTTCGCTAATGAGCACACACTGTCACGGAAAGGAAGATCTCAGGAGAACTCCCTTCTTCAGCCCCAGCTTGGGTTGCCAAGTGCTTTGCCCAGAAAGGGCACAGCGCCACACCTCTAAAGGTGTGCCAAAGGATCTGGAGGGTTTGCAGCTGCTGTGCCTCCTGCCTGTTCCTTTACATCACCTCTTGTCCCAGTATTTTTGCCCAAGATTGTGTGGGGCACAATCTTGTTGACAATCTCATATTATTAGTATACAGTGGTACCTCGGGTTAAGAACTTAATTCGTTCTGGAGGTCTGTTCTTAACCTGAAACTGTTCTTAACCTGAGGTACCACTTTAGCTAATGGGGCTTCCCATTGCCATTGTGCAATTTCTGTTCTCATCCTGAAGCAAAGTTCTTAACCTGAGGTACTATTTCTGGGTTAGCAGAGTCTTTAACCTGAAGCGTCTGTAACCTGAAGCGTCTGTAACCTGAGGTATCACTGTATATACCGGTATATATTTTAAAAAGAAGTGTTGCAGGTTCGTAAGTTCAGAGCACTTAAATGCGGAAGGACTGTGGGTTTTTTTGGGGGGGGTACGCTCAATCAATAACAGCATCTTCCAGCCTGAGGGGCACATTTTTCATTCTGGGCAACCACCCAGGAGCCACATTCCAATAGTGGGTGGAGCAAATTTGAAATCATTTAAGCACAGGGAATTTGTTTCCGGCTCTTTGTTTTAATTGCCATTTTTAATATATATTTGAAATTGCATAATTGTCTTTATTGCTGGTGTTTTTATTCCGAAACAGCTTTGAGATATTTCATGAGTTCAGTACTTCATTATGATGATCACAGATCCGCCACTAAATTATAGTCAAATGGATACAATTTGCAAGGCCAGCAGAAGACTATTAAAAATCAGCAGTGCAGCAAAACAAAAACAAAAACCTAGGATGTGTGTGTGTGTTGCTGCATGCTCCCAGCCACGCTTAGGATGGATTACTGAGCAGTAGGATAGTTAGTAAAGAGGTTTAACCATCCAGTTCCTACATAGCAATGCTTGCTAATGCACAAAACATTGCTACTCTGGTAGTAATTTCATTCGCAGCATCTAACAGGAAGGAGGAGGTGTAAAACTCGGGCCAGTTGTCTCTCTGCTCTTACTGGGAGGGGTGACCATCTAAGTCCTACTCAGAGTAGAACTCTTTGAAATGGATGAACCCAACTTTGTTGTGCCCAATGATTTCAACGAGTCCACTCTGAGCAGGACGAACATGAGATACAACCCATTAAAGCAGTGGCTTTCAACCAGTGTGCTGTGGCACCCTGGGGTGCCTTGAATGATAGTCAGGTGAGTAAGGGGCTGGCTTTGGCCAGTCTCCATTGGGCCACTAAGGCTGGGGGCATCCTCTTCCCAGGCCTGTGTGGGGCGGTTTGAGGAGGCCCCCTTTTTTAGGGGGTGGGGGGCAGCTCTGAGACCAGGGGAGGACTCCTAAGGTGAGGAGGGGAGAGGAGAGGAAGCTGAGGGAATGCTCCACAAAAGAGGGTGTTTGAAAAGGGTGAGGAGCTGCTGGCTCTGCCGGCAATGGATGACATAACTGCGCTTTTCAGGCTTGGAGCACGTTTCCCTACAGG